CCATACCATGGTTCTTTCAATAATAATAATAATAATAATAATAATAATTTTAAAAACTTGTGGGAATACAATGAGATACATATCTACCCCAACGTCTTGTCTGTTACTGGAGTTGTCTGAAGATACTTTCAGTGAGCCAGCATCCTTTCAGTCAACTATAACATCTATCTGTACATAAACATTAAATTTTTTTTAAAAATAGCAAGTTAGTGATTTGTCCAGAACCATTTCTATCTGAAGTTCATCAAACAAGATGGGAAGAATGAGATAATAATACTCTCATTTGTATAATATGAAGGCTTTTTTCACAACAATATTATTGTGGCTGAAGTACAAATATCCCCAATTTACAGATAAGGAAACTGAAACCATTTTGTAAAAGTCTGATTGAGGGGGCAGCTAGGTGGCACAGTGAATAGATCACTGGCTCTGAAGTCAGGAGGACCTGAGTTCAAATTTGGCCTCAGATACACGATACTCTGTAGCTGTGTGACCCTGGGCAAGTCACTTTAATCCTGATTGCCTCAGAAAGAAAGTCTGATTGAGGAGGAGCCAGGAATTTTCCCTTTGTTGTTACTTCTGAGCAACTACATTTACTTGATTCCATTAAGAATAGAATAGCTCAATAGACTGCCCATTTCAACCCTGCCTTTTCACAGACATGCTCCGAGTTGGGCCACCAATAGCATTGCCACTTAAAAAGTTAAAGAGGAGAATTGAGGTAGCCACAAAATCTAGAGAGAGAGATCCCCAAGAGGAATATATAAGGGCTTCAGGCAGAGAAGGAACATCCATTTGTTAGCCTGAAAGCAGGGCTTGTAAGGGACGATCCCCTTGGGAAGAGAGCAGAATTGATTATGTGTGCACTAGTATGAGTATGTGTCAGTATCTCTGTGAATCCCTTAGGAATCTGTGGTCTCTTCTAGGATGGGGACTGTGGCTTCTCTTTTATGTAAAACCCCTTCTGGTGTCTTAGACACAGCTCCTTATACTTTGAGGTCTCAGGAAATGGGACAGTGGTGGTTTAGTGATATATAGTATAAGGTATAAGGGTGGGGAGAAAGAGACTAAGCCTGGTGTCTGATGAATTCTATCAGAGAGGGAGACACTGAAGGACAAATAGGGGTCGGATGGGGTTTCAGGCCAGGGCGAAGCTCTTTTGTACCTCTTCTGTCTTTCCCTAGCTCTGCCTGGTTGCCAAATGCCTGCTCTTCCCCTTCCTCTCAACCTGAAAGATAGAAACCAGACAGTGGCATTTATGTTCTAGTAACAGTCTGATTCCAAGTGAGCTGTCTTTCCTGAGGTTCTTTCGCTATTGCCCAGTGATGGCATTTTCTCTTTCCCTCAACCTACAACTTCTCTGCCCGTTCCAGGCCCTTTTTGCTGTTGCTTCAGAAGTTCCATTCAGGTTGTTCACAATTTCCTTGGGTCTTCCTTTTGTGGTTTCCTGCTTCCTACCATGTGGGCACTAACTCACATGGGTTATAGATATTACATTTATACTTACAAATATATATATGAGACCAAGAATTAAGTCTCTAAACATAGCCCATGACTCTTTTCCTGTGAAAGGGGGCCCATGACAGCTGGGTTTTTTCAAACTATGGAAGACTTCATTGATGATCATTAGAAAGACCTGCCCTATGCTCCATCCAGCCCAAAACTCTTTCTCACAGAGTCCCCAAAGGAGTGGATAGGAGGTAGAGGACATAGGGTTGGCCTCCTGGACATTACCAGAAGATTAGTGATCACAAGCATCTCTGTTCTCCCTCAATAACTTAGCCAAAATTTTATCTAAACCCTACTTGAATCTCACTTGATATTCTGATTCTGCTACCCTCTGAAATAAGATCTATAAGTCTATTTCCTGCCTTGGGAAGTAGAAATTCCTTTTGTTTGCCTAAATTTACTTCTTTCACATTATAAGAACAGCCACAGATTTAATTTCTAGGGCTTGGTAAACAAACTTCTGCCCACTTCTGATCATATCATCTTTCAGCCTATGTAGAGTGTGCCAGTCACCATTGCTTTGGGGTTTGGATTTACATAGCCAGCCTTGGAGAGATATGAGTTTTTACTATATACTCCACAGGGTTTTTGTGAGGACAAAGCATGATAATATATGTGAAATACTAACTTTATAACTGTAAAGCATTATAGAAACAATAGTAATTTATTATGATGTCCATTCTACCTGAATTCAGTGCTTAGTAGTACAGGCCAACTCCTACAGTAATTTTAACAGCCCTTTTCTCCCGTTGTGGATATTTTCCCAGTGCCATTAAATGTTTGTTAAGAACTGAGATATGAGGCTTCCTCTTCTGGTCCTCTTAACCCAGAGCTCTTTACACTTTGTAATTCCATCCCTCTGTTTCTTCCCTCTATATTTAGGCTGTCAGCTCTATCCACCCTTTTTCTTTTCCCCTTTTGGCCCAAGAGATAGTATAATTTTTTGTATCCAAAAAGAAATTTTTTTTCAGGAAACAGTGACATTGGAGGGTATATCCATGTTTTCCATGAGACAGGAATGGAAATATCTGGATCCCAGAGAAGCTTCTATAGGGATATTATCCTGGAGTTTTGGGGAACATGACCTGTGTCTTTTGCTGATATTCTTAATGTTTTTAGTCATCCCTCTTAGTCTGCCTAGCCCAGAGATGCAGATGCCTGACTCACTTCAAATGCCAAACGCTGATGCTTTTTCAGGAGCGGGGCATTTTTTTCGCTGTTTCTGTTGTTCATTTGCCTCAAGTCTTTTGGAGCAGCTAGATGGTGTAGTGGATAGAGTGTTGGGCCTAGAATCAGGAAGACTTGAGTTCAAATCCAACCTCAGATGCTTACTAGCTGTGAGACCCTGGGCAAGTACTTAACCTCTGTTTGAGTGTAGAAATAGGACATTACTATTCTTATCCCCTGAGTGACAGGCCTTATATCTGCAGAGGGGAAAATAGGAAGCTGTCTTAAGATATTTAGAAGATATCCTCTTCTTCACCCTCTTGAGTGTCTTAGGAAATATTGCTCTGATATGTGCAAACTCTCCCAGAATTTGAGTGTTGATATCCTTATTATTAGACCTTTTCATTCTTCCAGCCAAGAGAGACTAAATTAAATTATTACCTTTCTGTCTCCATATTTCTCTTTTATTTGTTACACTGTTCCTGGAAATGAATTTCCTTCAGAGGGCCTACCTTTCCCCTGTGAGCCTTCCTGCCTAGCATTTCTGAACATTTTTGCCTTTCACTTGCCCCTTGAAGACTCAGAGGTTGAAACTATGTCCTGAGATTGTTTTAACTTCCCACAACAAATCAGCACCCCTTTTCTTTCTCTAGGGGCAGGATTTCCAGTTTCCAGACCTCATGTGATTTCCCTGGTAGGTTGAGGGAAAGAGTCATGGATCCTGGATCTGTGATATACTATGTATCCCCAAGTTCCTGCACAGGTGAGCAAGAGAAGACCAGTTTTAGGCAAGCTTCCCACAAATAGGACATTGCTTTAGAGAAGATTTGTAAGCAGGAAAGTAGCAGGTGGATTGAGGCAGCCTTGAGAAGTCATGCCTGAGATGTATAGGCTGGTTTATAGGAAAGCATTGGGGACATAAGAAAATTGCAGATTGGGTCTGTGATGTTAGAATAAAAAGTGTTGGTAGAATACCATGATGGAGCTGTAAGGAAGCAGTTGTTCAGCCACAGCCCTAAATGAAGAAGAGGAAGTTATTGGGCATGGTTGGAGGGAGTAGGTACAGAGTGTCAGATATCATAATTATCCAGTGAGAAATGAGTTTGTGGACTAAGCAGTAGGGGAAGAACCAGAGAAAAGGTAGGTATAAAAAGTGATAAAGGGAAAAAAGGTACAGCACATGGGGTAAAGGACAGATTAGTTGGAGATTTTGAAAGTGTTCCTTACATGGTATGTTAAGGAGTTGATAGCACTACCCACAGTGATGGGGAAGACAGTTATAAGGGATGGTGATGTTTTATGTTTAAGTTAGAAGCCTGATATCTAGTCCAGATTTTCATATAAACTCCTAGGGATGCATTTGGGGAAATTTCTTTGTGCAAGGACTAATGTGCATGAAAGGCATATGTGAATGCTGACTTGAAAGAAGAATGAATTACCAAGATCCAAGCATAGAGTGGAATCCTAGTCCTGATAGACAAGACTTGATGAAGTATTGAATGATAAAATAAAGTGGCTCACGATAGGTAGCAGCCAAACTAATTGAGGTGTGGGTCCTTAACAGCTTAAGTCAAGAGAAATAGTTGAAGAATGGATTGTGTACATTTCATACTGTGCGAATAAGTGTTTGGGGGAAGGAACTTTGGAGTTGGCTGTGAAAAGGTCTTTGCTAATTGTTCAAATGCCAGGGTCACAAATCACATGGCAAGGATTCCATGTAGGAAATGTCTATTAGGAAGTAGGTTTCAAAGCCAGCTTTGGGAGCCACCAATACTGTCTATTTCTTTTAGAAATTAATAAATATCCTCTGAAACTAGCACTTTCTCTTTTCCTTTTGTTTCAGATTCCAAAGAGTATGCCATTATATGAAAAACAGGAATTTTCAAAAGATGTAGGCTTCTATGGAAAGACTATTGAAGTACTTCTACAAGATGTTCCTCAGGAACCTGGTTTTATAGAAGATGGAAAATTTAAAAGCCAACAAGGAAACTGTACAGGGGGGATTTTGAGGAAATCCTTTTCCCAGGAGAGTGGTTTCAGAAAAATGATTAAGATTCATAAAAAAATTTCAGCAGGAAGAGCCCAGGAGTGTAATCAATTTCAGAAGAAGTTTGGCCAGAATTCAAACCATACTACTCATCAAAAAAATGCTACGAAAGAGAGAACTCATAAATGTACTACCTGTGACAAAAGTTTCAAATACAATTGTGACCTTATTCAACATCAGAGAGTTCATACTGGAGAGAAACCTTATATTTGTGATGAATGTGGAAAAGCTTTCAGTCGTAGTTCATTACTTACTAGACATGGGAGAACTTGCACAGGAGAAAAGCCTTATAGATGTAATGAATGTTGGAAAAGCTTTAGTCAGAGCTCACATCTTATTCAACATCAGAGAACTCATACTGGAGAGAAGCCCTATGAATGTAAAGAGTGTGGTAAAAGCTTCATTCAGAGCTCACAGCTTATTCAACATCAGAGAATTCATACTGGAGAGAAACCCTATGGATGTAAAGAATGTGGGAAAGGCTTTAGTTCAAGTTCCCACCTTATTCAGCATAGAAGAATCCATACTGGAGAAAGACCCTATGGATGTGATGAATGTGGAAAAGCCTTCAATCAAAGTTCACACCTTATTCTACATCAGAGAACTCACACAGGAGAGAAACCCTATGAATGTATGGAATGTGGGAAATGCTTCAGTTGTAGCTCACACCTTGCTCAACATCAGAGAATTCATACTGGAGAAAAACCTTTTGAATGTAATGAATGTGGTAAAGCTTTTTGTCTGAACTCACAACTTATGCGACATCAGAGAACTCACACAGTAGGAGAAAAACTCTATAAATGTAATGAATGTAACAGAGCCTTCAGTCAGAGTTCACACCTTATTCAGCATCAGAGAATCCATACAGGAGAGAAACTCTATAGGTGTGTTCAGTGTGGGAAAGCTTTCAGTAGAAGTTCAAACCTTATTCGGCACCAGACAACCCATACTAGAGAGAAACCTTTTAAATGTCAACAGTGTGGAAAAACTTTTATTCACAGCTCACAATTCAGTAAGCATCAGAGATTTCACACAAAATAATTGTCCCTGGAGAAGAACTTGTAAATGCAATTGAAGAAATTCTGTCAAAGGTCTGCTTTTATTCAACAGGAGATAATTCGTATTAATCCTTGGCAAGTCACTTGAGCCCCAATTTCCTTACCTGTAAAGTGGGGCTTGAATTACTGACCTCACAGAGTTGTGAAGAAAGCACTTTGAAAATATTAAAGCACTATTTCAGTGTACTTTCTATAGGAAAGAAAGCCTGTGAACATTAACAGATGTGGCAGATCCTTCGGTGTCTGCTCAAGCCTTTATTCAGTATTTACATCAGAAAGTTAGTCATGATGTAATGAAAAAGGGAACACATCAGTCAGTATTGGTTATCTAGGATTGTAAAATTATAAGATCTTATATTTAGAGCTGGAAGACATATCAAAGGTCATCAAGCCTCTCACTTTACAGAAAAGGAAACTGAGACCCAAAGAGATTATTTGCCCAGGATCATGTGGGTAGCAAAAGACAGAGCTAGGCTTTGAACCCAGATTTCCTTGACTCATAATCCAGCATTCTTTCTGATGCATCAAACATCCTCATAGAATCTTTGAAATCGAATGCCTCAGAGCTCTTCTAATCCAAGTTTTACTGGTGAGGAAACTGAAGCCCACTGAGGTTAAGTGAGTTGCCAGAAGTCACCCATCTGGTGAGTGGCAGAGCCAGGACTAGGTCTCAGTTCTTTTAATTTATAATATAGTGTTCTTTCCATTATACTGTGTTGCCTCCAAGAATTTAGAATTTGTTGAAATAAAATCACTAAATCACCAGCACCCTAGATAGCCTTACAGGCCGTAGAAAAAAAAATTTTTGAACATTCTTTTTTTTTAATTCATTTTGTTTTTTCTGCTTTTCAAAGGCTATTCATATTATTTTTATTTTGCCCAAGGTCTGAAATCTCTAGAGAATAAAGGAATAAACTAATGATGTTTCCCATGACCACAGTAGCACAGAGGGAATACTTTTTCTCTTCTGTTACTCTTTAAAGAAAACTAATTTGTTCTTCCTACTATTCCCACTTCCCTCAGCAGCAAATTTTAAAAATAATAAGTTCCCAATACATATATGTATATACATATACATCTATACACATCTATAGCTATGTATGTGCATATATAAATGCATGCACATTCCAGCAAAATGAATTTCCACATTGGCTGTGTTGTAAAAATGTTTATCTCTTTCTTCGTTTTAAGTTAATCACTCCTTCTGGAAGCAAATGAGTTACATGTTTCATCTTTGTTCTTTTGGATTCAGTTTAGCATTGTGTTCATCAGAGTTCTGAAGTCTTTTAAAATAGTTTTTCTTTAGTATTATCATTGTATAGAGTATTCAGCACCCTCACTTTACAAATGAAGACACTGAGCCTCAGAGAGACAATGGGACTTACTCCAAAGTAAATATAGGATCTTAAATTTAGAGTTGGAAGGGATCTTAGAGCCCATCTAGTTCAATCACTCATTATAAATGAGGAATTGAAGCCCAGAGAGGTTAACTATCTTGTCCAAGACTATGTGTGATGTAGTCACAAAGATTTTCCCCAAAATGTCACGCTGCCTCCTCCAGAGCCATTTCCACACTATCCACCGAACTCCTAGAGTTGACCCCACAAGTGATCCCACATTCTTTCATTCATTCAAGAAATATTTATTAAGAATCAATCAATATTTATTAATTTTTTAAATTTAATTTTTTTTTGGCTAGGCAGTGGGGTTAAGTGACTTGCCCAGGGTCACACAGCTAGTAGGTGTTATATGTCTGAAGCTGGATTTGAACTCAGGTCCTCCTAAATCCAAGGCCGGTACTCTATCCGCTGCGCCACCTAGCTGCCCCTATATTTATTAAGTGCCTATCGTAGTAGTGCTAGCAGTAGCCAGGTATTGTGCTAAGCACTAGAATCTGTAAATACGAAATTGAAAGGTAGCATGGGTGAAGAGGAAAAGATGTGGAGTGAGATAACCTGATTTCAAATATTCCCTTTGTCATTTACTTCCTGTGATCACTTTGTGTCACAACTTCTCTGGGCCTCAGTATCTTCGTCTATAAACTGAGGGTGTTGAACTAGATCTTTGGAAGTCTCTTCCAATTCTGTCTCTGGTTCTGAAATAAGATGAAACCCCTGTCCTCATGGAACTTAAAATCTAGCAGAGGCATCAAGACACAAACATGAGTGTATTACAAAGCATCACATAAGAAGTACATTAAAGAAGTATGAAACAAAATACAATGTTTGGGGTAGTCAGCTGCCTAAGAGACCAGGTAGGAAAGCTTTCATGGAGGCAGTGGCGTTTGAGTTGGGTTTCCAAGTATAGGAAGGAATTAAACGAGAGGGAGGTTGACATCCCAGACGTAGGGAGCAGCATATACAAAGGTACAGTGGAGTGAGTGTAGGGCATGTCCAAGAGAGCATTGAATAGTCCATTTTGGCTTAGAGCATGGAGAATGTGGAGGAGAGTAATATGAGATAAAATTGGAAAGGTAGGGTGCTACCAGTTTTTTAATAGTCTTAAAGACATTTGAACTCTATTCACTAGAGGCAATAAGATCTTTCTTGAGATCTTTGAGGTGAATGACTTGACTAAGTCTATTAGAAATATTATTCTAGAAGTCATGAAATGTCTATGTAAAGTATTTTGCAGCCCTTTAAGTACTATGTAAATGTTAGCTATTATATGAACTGGAATGGAGAGAGAATCAGGGTATGGAAACCTGTTAGGAGGTTATTGCACTACTTCAGATGGGTGGTAATGATAGTCTTAAGTGTACACGGTAGAATGTGACAGGGGCAAGCAAAAAAAAAAATCCAGTTATACTGCTCTAGGAATATGTGAGGAAGGGGAAATCACTTTTACCTAGGGCAAAGAAAATTGGTAGGGTCAGGAAAGGGTTCCTGATACCTGCACGAAACCTTTTCACTCCTCAAGCATAGAAGTGTCTACTTTGTGCCAGTCCCTGAAGATTCAAAGACAAAAATTAAATGGTTCTTGCCCTCAAGGAGATTATATTCCATTGGAGGGCAACGACACAGATAAAAGTAAATAAACAGCAAACATTTGTTAAGTGTCTGCTATATGCTAAGCAGCTAGGTGGTTCAGTGGATAGAGCCAGTAGGTGGAATTAGAACCAATAAGAGGAACCATAAGGAAGAAGAAACAAAACAGCAGGAAAAAAAGAGCAAATAGTATGCTTCGATTTGTATTCAGACTCCATAGTTCTTTCTCTGGATGTGGGTAGCATTTTCCATCATGAGACTTTTGGAGATGTCTTAGGTCCTTGCAATGCTGAGAGGAGCGAAGTCTTTCAAAGTTAGTCGTCACACAATGTTGCTGTTGCTGTGTACAACGTTCTTCTTGTTCTGCTCATTTCACCCAGCATCAGTCCATACTACTCTTAACAGGTTTTTCTGAAGTCTGCCTGCTCATCATTTCTTACAGCACAATAGTATTCCATTATATTCGCATACCACAACTTGTTCAGCCATTCCCCAGTTGATGGCCATCCCCTCCATTTCCAATTCTTTGCCATTACAGAAAGAGCTGCTATAAATATTTTTTGTATATGTGAGTCTTTTTCCCATTTTGATGATCTCTTTGGGATACAGCCCCAAAAGTGCTATTGCTGGGTCAAAGGGTAAGTACATTTTTATAGCTCTTTGGGCATAGTTCCAAATTGCTCTCCAAAATAGTTGAATCAGTTCACAACTCCACCAACAATGCATTAGTGCTCCAATTTTCCCACATCTCCAACATTTATCATTTTCCTGTTTTGTCATGTTGGCCAATCTGATAGGTATGATGTAGTACCTCAGAGTTGTTTTGGTTTGCATTTCTCTAATCAACGATTTAGAGCATTTTTTCATATGCCTATAGATAGCTTTAATTTCTTCTGAGAACTGCCTGTTCATATCCTTTGACCATTTATCAGTTGTGGAATGACTTGTATTCTTATAAATTTGACTTAATTCTCTGTATATTTTAGATATGAGGCCCTTATGAGAGATACTGGTTGTAAAAATTCTTCCCCAGTTTTCTGTTTCCCTCCTAATCTTGGTGGTATTGGCTTTGTTTGTGCCAAAAACTTTTCAATTTAATCTAATCAAAATTATCCACTTTGCATTTCATAATGTTCATAATTCTTCCCTTCTCCATAAATCTGACAGGTAAACTATTCCTTGCTCTCCCAGTTTGCTTATAGCATCAGCCTTTATATCTAAATCATGTACCCATTTTGACTAAGTATATGGTGTTAAGATTTTGATCTCTGCCTAGTTTCTGCCATGTTTTTTTCCAGTTTTCCCAGCAGTTTTTGTCAAATAGTGAGTTCTTGTCCCAGAAGCTGGGGTCTTTGGGTCTATCAAACAGTAGATTACTATAGTCATTGACTACTGTGTCTTGTGTACCTAAGCTATTCCACTGATAACACTACACTACTTCTTAGCCAGTACCAAGTAGTTTTGATGATTGCTGCTTTATAATACAATTTAAGATCTGGTATGGCTAGGCCACCTTTCCTAGCATTTTTTTTCCATTAGTTCCCTTGATATTCTGGGCCTTTTGTTCTTCCAGATAATTCTTGTTACTGTTTTTTCTAGCTCTGTAAAATAATTTTTGGTAGTTTGATTTGTGTGGCACCGAATCAGTAAATTAATTTAGGTAGAATTGTCATTTTTATTATATTAGCTCATTATGTTATATTAGCTCAATATGTTAACCCACGAGCAATTGATGGTTTTCCATTTATTTAGATCTGACTTTATTTGTGTGAAAAGTGTTTTGTAATTGTGTAATTTAAACTTTTGAAAATAATTTTAATTTTTTTTCAATTAACAAAAATCTGCTTTCCCTCCCACTCTTCCCTGCTTCTCCCCACTCCCACTGAGAAAGAAAAAAGATCTGTATTACAAATATGTGTAGTCAAAGGAAATTTCCACATTGGCCATGTCTGTCTGTCTGTCTCTCTCCTATGAGTATCACTTCTATCAGGATCAGGAGTTAGGTAATATATTTCATCATGAGTCTTGGAATTAGGGTTAGAAAGTGGGATTTAACCTGATTTTTTTTTTAAAGTTAGGTTGTATTTTTTTTTAAAAAAAACAAAATCTACTTTCTCTCATTCACCCCTCTCTCTTGAGGACAAAATAAAAACCTATTCCACACCTGTATGGTCAAGCAAAACAAATTTCCAAATTGGCCATATCTAAAACATATAGATATATATAAATATATATATCTATATAGATATATATAAATATATATATCTATATCTATATAGATATATATATCATTCTGTGCTCTAAGTCCACCTTTTGGGTAGTGGATAGCATATTTCATCACTAGTCTTCAGGAATCTATATTTGATTATTAACATTGATCAGAATTCCTTCATTTTTTTTTGTTTGTCTTTACCATTTTGTTATTATTGTAAAAAAAAATTGTTCTGCTTCTGTTCACTTTGCATCAATTCATATGAGTCTTCCCCAATTTCTCTGAAACCATCCCTTTCATAATTTCTTAATAGCACAATAGTATTCTATCACATATATCATGACTTCAGACATTCTCCAATTGATGACATACCCTCAGCATCTAATTCTTTGCCACTGCAAAAAGAGCCTGCTTTAATATTTTTGTACTCCTGGGTCCTTTTCCTCTTTCTTCGTTAAGATGGATCTTCAGTGTCATGTTAGAGGAGCAGGAAGTCCAATGTCACCCTAATGTAAGAAGACTCAAAAGTAGGAAGGGACCAGGTTGTGAAGAGCTTTAAATGCCCCAAAAGATGATTTTATATTTGATTCTGGAGGAATTAGGAAACCTCTGGAATTTATTAAGTAGGAGAGGTTGATGTAGATCTACACTTTAGGAAAAACCACTTTGGCAGCTGAATGCAGGATGCATAGGATTGGGGAGAGAGTTGAGGCAGGAAGAATAATTAGAAAGTTATTGCAATGGTCCAACATTGCCATGATGAGTGCCTACACCATGTAGTGGCTATGCCAGAGGAGAAAAGTGGATGTGTATAGGGGCAGCTAGGTGGCACAGTGAATAGAGCTCTGGCCTTGGAGTCAGGAGGACCTGAGTTCAAATCCAGTCTCAGACCCTTAATACTAGCTGTGTGACCTTGGGCAAGTCACTTAACCCCGATTGCCTCACCAAAAAGAAAAAAAAAAACAATAAACTAAAAATCTCTGTTTAAAAAAAAGTGGATGTATATGAGGGATGTGGAGGTGAAACTGACAGGAGTTGGTAACATTGGATATGAGGAGTGAGTGAGAAGTCTAGGATGTTGCATGACTGGAAGGATGGTAGTGTACCTTACACTAATAGAGAAGTACAGAAAAGGAAAGGGTTTGTGGGTGGGATGATTATTCAGTTTTGGACATGTGGCATCTGAAATGCTTGCAAGAGTTTAGTTCGAGATGATCAAAAGGTAATTGGTGATTCAGAAATGAGGTGAGGATCTGACTGCCAGGACAAAGCCTTGTTGGAGCAACCTAAGCCATGCGTGAATAGTTTTTAATTCAATTATTCTGGGCTCCTGAGCCATTCTTACGCTATTCCCCAACAGTTGTTTTCTTGTCACCACACTGCCCCCTCTAAGGTGGTCTCTCCTCCGGGTTCCCTATTCAGGGGTCAAGCTGCTATCTCCTTGGAAGGTCTGCTGAAAGCGAACCATCGAGACTCGAGTCTTCCCGCTGCCTAGATGTTTCGAGGTCGGCCCCAGAGCGACTGATGGGTGGGGTGGAGTAACGTCACTTCCGGTTTTCTAAGTTGAGCTGAACCTGGGTATCTTCATCCGTCAGCAGTGGGGAGAGAGGGCAGGGCTGTTCACCCTGGGCCCTAGTGTCGCGAGAGCTGCAAGTGTTCCTGGTGGGGCGGGTCGGGGCTGGCTGCTGGCTGCCCAGAAGGTAAGCAAAGACCCGGCGTTGCCAGGAGCGGGCTGTGCTGCTGCGGGCGAACTCTGGGAAGGGCTGAGATCATCCGGGGAGCCCTGCAGCCTGTATGTAGCAGAATAGGAATTCTAACCCAGGCCCCTGAGCCCAGGGCACCACGCTGTGGCCACAGTGCCCTGACGCAGGGTCGGCTTCTTCAGATGCACGCTTGTCTCCAGGCTTCTCCAAGTCCTAGCTGCTGTAGTGATTGATCTCTTACGCGTCTTGACACTTTCTCCCTGTGGTTCTTTCCCTCTGTCTACAAACATACTCGTCTCTTCCCCATCTGTAAAAAAACAAAAACTTTAATTCCCTTAACTTTTCTGCTGCCATTCAATCCTCACGTCCTTTCTCCTCCCTTTCATTCATTGCTATCTAAATCAGTCAATAGGCATTTATTAAGGGCCTAGGATGTACAAGGCACTGAGCCAAGTGCTGGAGATACAAAAAAAGGCAACAAACAGTCCCTGCTCTCAAGGAGCTCCCAGTCTAACGGGGGAGACAGCATGCAGACAACTATTTACGAACTAGATATGTTGAGGATAAACTGGAGATAGCCAGCAGAGAAAAGGCACTAGCTTTATCTTGGATCTCTGCGCTCTGCTGTCAACTCCTTTCATTCATGCTTTCTCCTGTCACTGTAGTGAAAATTTCTCAGACGTCAACAGTGTGACCTATCAATTTTCAAATCCAGTGACCTCCTCGATTTCCCCCCCTCCACCTAAATCAACTGACTTCTTAGCACATTTTAATCCTCCTGAACATTGTTTTCTACTGGTTACCTTGGCTTCAAAAACCTGTTGATCTTACCTTTTCTTTTTTTCTTCACTGTTTTATCATTCTTTTTCTAGTCTCTTAATGTAGGATATTACCAGATATTGTTCTCAGCATTTTTCACTTCCTCTATTCTCTACTTTACCAATGTAATTCATTTCCATGGCTCTTCATTTTTATGAATAATTACATACTCCAGTTCTAACATATCTTATACTTCACTTTACATAGTTTTCCCTAATTTTGATTTTTAAATTTTTTAACTTTCATACCAAAAAAGATCATTTCCATATACACAAAAGAACACAAAAAAATTCTGTACAAATCTGTGAATTTCCATTTTATTCGGTTTCCTTTTGTATATATAATCTATACACTTTCAAAAGTAACATGGATTTATGTTTCCTTCTAAATTTCTTTTTGTCCTGCATGTTTAGAAAACGTTTTAGTGGCCCTCTTTTTGGGCATCACTGATGCCCCCATTAAAAACTAAGAGAAAGAAAGAAAAAAAAACTATTGTAACAAATAAGCACAATTAAGCAAAACACAAACAATGACTGTGTCCTTGTCTGCACCTTTGTCCATTAACTCTTTATCAGCTAGGTAATATGCTTCATCATAGATCTTCTGAAGAAATGATTGGTTATTGCATTGATCAGAATCCTTAAGTCTCTCAAAGTTGTTTACATTGTTACTCTTATATAAATTGTTCCCCTGGTTCTTCTCACTGCACTCTGATTCAGATCATACTACTCAGGATTCTCTGAAATTGTCTCTTTTGGCATTTTGTATGACGCGATAATATTGCATCATGTTCACTTATCACAATTTGTTCAGCTATTCTGTTCAGTTGTTCCCCTGTCTGAGAGGCAGACTAAGGCACTTTCTTAAATTCTAATTTTCGTTTTTGTTTTTAATCTCGCTTTAGGATCAGGAAATTTATTTTGCTTGCCACCATTCCCTCCCCAGTATTGTCCTTCTTTATAACCTCCTCCCTTTTCAATCCGTTATTGTTTCCCTGTTTAGTTTGATGGATTTTGCTGTTTGTGACTGTATGTTTCGTCATCCTTTATACATTTTGGATAAGTGAGATTCATCTGATTGTCATGCCTTCTGCCCTTCCTCCTTGTTTTTCTGTACTCTTCTCATGCACCCCAATTATAAGAAATAGCAAACTCCTCCTTTTTACACTAGTGTATTCTTTTTGTCTTCTTTTCTCTTTCCCAAATTGACGCCCTCAGAACAGAATCCATCCACTCAAAAGACCTCGATTTTTCATATTGAACTCTCTCATTACTCTTTGCAGACATTGAAGTTCTAAAGGAATATTTGTTTCTTCTTCCCCTATTAGAATGTTAGTACTGCATCATCATACAGCTCTTTACAAGTGCTCAACTAAATTTCTCTAGTTTCTCTTTACTGCTGTGTTTGTAGTTTGAAGTAGACATTTTCATCAAGAACGCTTCAAAGTCTCTTATACCTTTAAAAGACCATTTTCCCCTTGCAGAATTATACACAGCTTTGCAGGATATTATTGTTAGTCTTAATATTATTTTTCTTTTGGAATACCATATTCTAGTATCTCTTCTCATTTATAGAAGAAGCTTCCAGGTCTTGTGTGATCCTGACTATTGTTCTTTGGTACTTGGACTCCTTCTTTCTGGATACTGAAGTGGTATTTTTTTCTTTTACGTAGGAGTTCTGGATTTTGTCTGTGGCATTCCTGAGGCTTCCTTTTTGGGTTCTTTTGAGGTGATGATTGGTGGATTCTTTCTATCTTCATTTTTGTTCTCTGCTCTAATAGATCTGGATAGTTTTCTGTTATGATTTCTTTGAAGTATAGTGTACTCACTTTTTTCAAAAAAAATCATGGTTTTTACATTTTCTTCTAGTTTTTCTATCTTTTGACTTTATTTTAATATTCTTGCTGACCAATGAAGTAATTGAATATTGTTTGGTCTATTTTAATTTTCATGGAATCTGTTACTTCAGTGAGATTTCTCTACTATTTATTCTTGTTCCAGTCCTTTTCTTCAGAGCTTTTATGTCGTTCTTTATTTTCATTTCTTCTAGATATTCATGTAATTCTTGTGGAAAATACATTTTTTCTTTGAGTCTTTGCTTGCAGTTGTTACAGAATTATGCTCTTATTTTGGGGGATCTCTAGATTTACAATCATTGTTTATTCTGGTAGCTTTCTTTTTTGGTTTACTCATCTCTCCAGCTTCAGTACCTTAATTGAGACCTTGTGCAAAGGCTAGTGTCTCCCCCCCCCCCCGTTCTGTGCTTTTGGGCAGGGTTTGGACCCCTGCTTTTCCTACTTAGTCTTGTCCTCCTGTCTTCCCTGGCTTCCTTCATGTTTCAGCTAAAATCTTACCCTCCTGCAAGAAGCCTTTCTTGATCTCCTTGAATGCTAGTTCCTTCTCTCTGAAATTAGCCCCAATTTAGCCTGTATTTATCCTGTTTGTACATTGTTGTTTCTTGTTGTCTCCCCAAAAGATTGTGCCCTTTGAGGGCAGGAACTGTTTTTTGCCCTTTTTTGCATCCTCAATGCTTATTAAAATGCCTGGCATATAGTAGGTGTTTAAGAAATGTTTGTTGATTTGTCTTGTCATGGCTCATTTGGGTTCCTGCACAAACCTCCACCTCCCAGCCTTATGCCCCTTAGATTTTTGAGCTTCACAGCACTTAGATCATCAGGGTTCTCAATGGAGACCAGGCCCTCAAAGCACTTGGGCGTAGGGTGTTGTGGGCTGCTGTTCCCGAGGCTTTCAAAGTCGCCACTGTGGGGCTTTCTTGAGAGAGGCCCCTGTTCTTGTTGCCTCTGCACACAGAGCTTTACAGGCTATGTGTGTTTTTGGCTTATCTCCCATTGCGTTGGTAGGGTGGATTTCTTTGCCTACATTGATGCTGTCTTTGGCCCACTTTATTATTGTCCCTAGGTTTCTGACTGATTATGCAGCTCCATGGTGGAAGATGTAACCTGCTATAGTTTCTCACTGGATTTCTTAATCATTATTTGGTCTGATAGAAATTTCAGGTTTTTGCTGGAGTGGGTGTATGGGAGCTGAACTGTCTGCTTCCCATTTAGACAGCCATCTTGGCTGGAACCACCATGCATCTTCAGCTGCCTAATGCATATCTCCCCCTGAGGTCCCACTGGCACTGCAAACTCAAGTTGTCTAAAAGAGGACTTGCTGTCTTTTTCTCTAAACCTGCTCCTGTCCCATGTTCGTTATCTTAAGATTCTCTTTGACTTTTCCTTCTCCTTCACCTCTCATATCCTGTCATTTACTATGTCCTGCCCATTCTGCCTGATCTCACAACACCTTTTTCATCAGTCTTTCTTTATTTCTGTCATCACCTCTCTAATGTAAGTTCTCATAACCAGCCATCTAGATGATCAAAATAACTTCCTAGCAGGTTTTCCCACCTCTTTTCTCTCCCTTTCCTTCATACCACGTGCTAGAATAATTTTGAGTTACATGGGATAAGAAGGGATAAGTGGGTTATTATCTGTGCTATTGGAAGCTGTACCCTCATCAGTGAGATCATGGATCCATGTAGTATGCATAGGTCTGGTCATGTTGCCGTTCCACTCCAAAATCTTCAATGACTCCCTATTGCCTCTCTATTAAAGTTCTCATTTATTTGCCTGGCATTAAAGGCCCTTCACAATCTGACAGCACGTCTTTGCCTTTTGTATTTTGACCCACTCTTTAAATCCCAAATCAAATATTTCCTCTTCTGTGAAGCCTTCCTTCATCCATGGTTGGTAGTAAATAAGCTTCTTCCCTGGGGCCTCACATACTACTTTTTTTACAACTCTTTACAGCACTTACCATGTGATATTTTGTATTATAGTTCTCTATTTTACCCTATAAACTATAAGCACCATGAAGGCAGAGAATTGTTATCTAAATTAAGTCTTGCATTATCTCTTGGTCCTTTATGAGGAGAAAGTTTTAAAGCCTTATATTGTGATAGAAATGTGAGCCCTTAGCATTTGTTTATTTCTTCACAGCTGTATTTGTAGATAAAGATTTTCTTTTCTATAATCGTAGCTATTGTGTATCCAGATTTTCTGGTTCTGGCTTTATCACTTTAAATTATTTTATATAAAATTTTTTATTTCTTTATGTTACTTATATTTTTAATTGTATTATCTTATCCAGCACATTGAAATGCTACGGTTTGTTTAGCTTTTGGTAAACAAAGAGATTTAGCTTGTTTCCAGTTTTTCACTATTACAAAAAAAGGAGTTTACATTTAAAAAATTTTTTTAAATTCTTTATTTTTTAGGAGTTTACATTTTTACCTGGTGCATCTAAAGAGATGCACAAGGAGAAGCACCATTAGAGATGTGTCTTGCTCACAGAGTAGGCCTTCAACAGTTAGCTGTTGAGCAAATAGATGTGTTGAATAAGTAGCTTATCATTCAGAATGCTTAGGAAATTGATCTAAATCTATGAGATCAATGGCATTTTCCAGTAGACAATGAATAGACAATTTGTAAGAGGCAACACAGATAATAATATCTAATATCTGTGTAATTCTTTAAAGTTTGCAAAATGCTTAATAGATAGTTTTGTCATTTAGCCTCACAAAAAATCTCTGAGACAGGAGCTATTATGCCCATTTTACATATCAGGAAACTGTGGTTCCAAGAAGTTAAGTGACTCACACGTAGTTACATAGCAAGGAGAGGTGAGAGGTGGGATCTGAAGTTAGGTCTTCCTGACTCCAAGGTACTCAAGGCGTTGCACAGTAAATAAACACTTTAAAACATGTTCATCCTCACTCATAATAAAAGAAATGCAAATAAATATTTGTGAAGCAGATATTTGGCATACACAGCTATTTGGCAGAAATGAATAAAAACAATAAAACCTACTCTTGGTGGGACGATGGGTAAACAGACACGTTCATATGATGTTGGGGGCTTTGTGAAGTGGTGCTACTTTTTTGGAGAACAGTGTGGCAGTACACAGCACAGGGTCATGTCATCTGGTCTACAGATCTCCCTTTTGAGAATATATCCCAAGAAAGTAATTTTTGAAAAAAAGAAAGGAAGAAATTAGACTGTTTACAAGGATGTTGTAGTGAATTAAAAAAAAAAACTAATGGCGAAAAACTAGTATTACCGCTGGAAAGCAGGGCAAATACTCTGTGGGACAAGGAAGGAGTAGCTTCTTACAGTATCCCTAAAATGAGCATCTTCTCACTCTGAGAACACCTCTACTTAGTGTATAAAAGCAGAAAGAACCCATGCTTTGGGGGCAGTATTTCCAAATCCGGCTTTCATTACTGTAGACTTGACTGTGTTGACAGGAGAGAGAGTGAGAGAGCCAAGCAAGACATCTGTGTGGCAGCGTAGTACAGCCCCAGGTTCTCTGTGATTAACTTTTCTGTTGTGTCTGTTGCTGTTGCCCTGCGTGGAATGGGTGCCTTTGGAGCATCTCCTATAAATTTTGGATGTGCTAAAAGATGCTGGAAGTACCACATTTAACCAGAGGGCTAAGCAGTGATGGTGCTAATTTTTCAATAGCTTTCTCCTTTACCAACACCTCCCGAGACCCTCCTTATTATTCTGGTATTTTCCCTTTGGCAGAGGTTGTGGGGCCATGATACAATGATTGGGGAATGCCTAAACACAGCATGGCCCCAACTCTGGCGGCAGCTTTACGAAGATAGATATAAAGAATATGTAGTGTTAGGCTGTTTAGCTTGATGTTTTTTAGAGGGTCCTTTGTAAGGGTAGGGATTGTTATGGCATTTGTTGGGAAGTATGTTTTATGTCAAAAAAAGTCAAGTCAGTCAGCAATTCTTAAATGCTTCCTGTGTGCCGGGCGCTGTGCTGGGGGATATAAGTACAAAGAATGAAACAATCCCTACTCACAAGGAATCCACATTCTGATGAGGAAAACAGCAAGTACATATGAAATATATAATATGTATCACAAATAAATTAATAAATATAAATATACGGAATGTAGTTAAATACAAGGTAGTTTGAAAGCAAGAGCACTAATGGTTGGAGAGTCAGAGAAGGCGCCATGCATTAGATGGTACCCGAGCTGCATCTTAAAGGAAGTGAGGGAGTTGTAGGAATTGAGCGAACCATATCGACTCCATCTTGTGACGCAGTTCTAAATCTAGTTCAGTTCCCTTTCTGTTCATTTATGGGTCTAGTCCAGTTTCTGTCTGGTGAGAAAACTTTATTGCATTGTTTGAACCTAGCCTTATGTGTCTGGAAAGCGGGACAACCTCTACCTGCTGCTCTTTAGAGACTATTAACTAACAACCTAGGTTATGCCCATCATCAACCCAATCAGATCCGAAGATTGGTACAAAGAGTTTTGTCATAATTATACATCTGGAGCAGCCCATATATTTTGTCTGAAAACTGGCCCCACCCTGGGCAATCAGTTATTATTTCCATGTTCCCTTGATTGAATACAGATGTATGGGGACAGCCGGACACCTCTTTTTCTGATTTTAGGGAGTTACACTTACCTGTTTGCTCACCCCCTCCAACTTGGAAAGTCCCTACTCTTTCCTCCAATTTGAAATCAGATTACCCAATTTTGTATCCCAAGTTAATTGTTTTCTTTTAATTAATTAGTCTTGTTTGATTAGTTGTTGTTAATACAGAAAAATCTGTCTCACTCTATTCAGGGTGGGGACTGACTGGGGAGTCCACTGACCCATTTATTATATCTGTTTGCTAATGAATCATATAACTCAGATTGTTTCCTCAGAAGACAGGGCCTGTGAGACAGACATAAGGAGAGAGTTCACTCCAGGCATGTGGGGTGGGTAGTGCGAAGGCAGAGATAGAAGATGGAGTTTCATAAGTGGGAAACAGAAGGCTAGTTTAGCTGAGTGAAAAAGTGCAGATAAAGAAGAGTCTGAAGATGTTGGAGAGAGAGTTTGGGACCAGGGCGTGAAGAGCTTTAAAGGGGGAAGGCAGCCCCAAGACGCATTGGTAGGGAAGCCTCAGACGAGGGCTAGCCTCACTCATGATTCTTATGTCTTCCCTCAGCTCTGCCTGCTCCCCAGGTGCCTGCCTTTCATCCCGAGGGAGTGAGCCCAGGAGACCAGGCAATGGCAGCTGTTTTCCCAATGACAGCCAGGGGTCAGGTGAGCTGCCCATTCTGATGAGACAGTTCATATAAATATCTCCTTAGTTCCCTGGGCCTTCCAGCTCAGATTTTTTCCTCCTCCCAAAGGTCTAGAGACCGTAAGAGTTAATTGGTAGAAGCCTAGTCTCTTCATATCCTAGGACCACCTCCTTTGTATAACTGTATCTATCCTCAGCCATATTAGTAAAAGAGTCCAGAGGTTCTTAACCTTGGCTCTATGAACTTGTTTTTAAAAAATAGTTTGATAACTCTATTTCACCGTAATTGGTTTCATTTGTAATGCTATGTATTTTATTTCATATATTTGATTGTTATTCTGAGAAGGGGTCTGTAGACCTCATCAGACTGTCAAAGGGATAGATGTCACTAAAAAAAAAGTTAAGACCCCCTGGTCTGGCCCTGCCCCAGGAGATCCCACACCTTTAACTCAAAGGCCTGGCAGTTTGGAGTCTTGAATTACACTGAAAGCCCCTGAAAGCCTCAGATTGGTATGAGGCTCCAGGATAACTCAGCTGTGGTTCCTCAGACCAAGCATCAGAATGACCATAAAAGGTCCACCTCCCCCATGGTCCATCTCCTTGAGCATAGTATTCCTTACAGGAACTCTAAAGGAATGAATGGAGTAGGGATTGGAGTCAGAGGGAGTTGTTTGCCTCTTGGACATCACCAAAAGATTAGGGAAATAGCAGAGACATCTTAGGTTTCTCTCAATATTCTGGGGTATGAGCTAGGAAATTCTCTAAAACCTTCTTGGGCCTAGTTATATATTCAGCCTCTTGACTCCTTCCAGGGTAAAGAAGTTTATAAGTTTATGCCCTCCGGAATGAAGGAGGAATTCTTGTTATTTTTCCCAAGTTTTCCTCTTTCAGCATTTGAGCTGTCCAGCTTTAGTTTCCAGGATTTGCTGAGCAAACCTGTCCCCAGTTCTTTGTGGTTTTTAGACTCTGATCATAGCTCTTCTTGTTCTTTATGGGAATCAGCAAGTCATCATCCCTTTAATGTTTGGGTTTATGTGGCCAGCCTTGGGAAGGCTGAGTGTTTTTTGCTGAGGCTCTCTACCTATTAGGCTGTAATGATTAGGTCAGCTAACTGCCTGACAGAGATGAGATTCTTCCCCAACACAGCACTTTGAAAATCATGAACATTCAATAAAAGTATAGCTCAACAAAGCAAATCTTTCTGCTAGCTTAATATTTTTATACAGTAATATTTATTGAAATAATAGTGATAGAAAATGGTTTCCTATGTGGGTTGGAGCTCAGAGCAGAGGTTCCTGTCTTGTGTCTTTGAGCTCTGGATACTTCTTATCCCAACCTCTAAAATATACCAGAGCTTGGATGAGGAGGTTCTAAGGCAGCTGGTCATGCCAGAGCATGTGTTCCCCACCCTCCGTTCTGGTATGAAGCAATTAATAGTGAAACTGGAATAAGCTTGTCTGCTCAGCTGCCAAATCTTATTAGTGGAAGGACAGCATGGTCTAGTGGAGGGGTGGGGAACCTGTGGCCTCCAGGCCACATGTGGCCCTCTAGGTCCTCAAGCCTGGCCCTTTGACTGAATCCAAACTTCACAAAACAAAAACACGGGCTTGCCAGAATGTATTTAGTAGAATATAAATTCCTTGAAGTTGGGACGATTTCATCTTGTCTTTGTATCCTCAGCAGAGAACACAGGGCCTTGTCGGCTTCATATTTTCCTATCTCCCTTAGTGCTGAGCACAATGTTTTGTACACAGTAGACACTTAATGAAACAGCCTTTCTGTTCATGCTCTCTCTTTTAAAAAATTTTTTTTTGGTAGCTCTTTTTCAATACAATTGATTTCCTTTGTAATCCTGTGTATTTTATTTTATGCATTTAAATATATTATTCTGAGGAGTCCATGGCCTTCACCAGACTGCCAAAAGGGTTCAAGGCACAGACAAAAATTAAGAATGCCTGCTCTAAGTCAAGAAAAATTGGGAAGGAACTCATGAAAGCTCTTAGCATAAGGTCACTCTCCATGTAAATCAAGGTAAAAATGAGTACCAGATTTTATAGCAAGCAAAGGAGAGATCATAATCGAATCTTGGAAATCTTTGCTGAATATGAGAAAAAGATAGGTCAGATTCAACAGTCTGAAACAGTGAAAGTAAGAATTGAGGGAATTATTCTCTCCAGTCTTCTGACAGAATACATATTAAAGCTTTCTAAGGATATAGCCACCTTCTTTTTGACTGAGAAAGGAGTTTGGAGGTGTGGAGCTAGAGATAAGGCATTTGCCACATTCCATGCTGTTTCTCCTCTTTCTGACCTTTTCCTTGGACTTTCAAAAATTACACACAACATTTTGATATATAGTTTTCAAGTTTCTTGAATCCACAAACTCTTTAACTGCCTAATCAGAGGTGTACATGAGGCCTTTATTTGTGTCATTGACCTCCTTGGGCTGCAGGCATACTGGTGGAATCTGATTAGAAATATGAACAATTCAGTCACTGTGTTTGCATAATTCCAGATTGATTTCAGAATAGTTATACCAATTCATAGTGCCACTAGCAGTGCATTAGTATGCCTGTCTTTCTACAACTTTTCACAATGTTATCTTGGAGAATACGGCCTTGTTTGCATTGCTTTTATTCTCATTGACCATGTTGGTTTAATTCAGATGCCAGTCCTCAACTTGTCCATTCAGGCTCCTTACTCCACTGAATTATTATTCAAAGTATGATTTTTTGTTATCTTTCAGAATGGAGTAATGTGCTAAGAAAGAGGCATTTTTTTCTTTTCAAAATGTTTTCAAACAAAATCTACGGTCTATCTAAATCTATAATTGTTTGACTACATGATCAGTCTCTCCAGGGTGCCATGTTTGTATCACAGTGTTTAGTGAGAATCTTCTTGCTAGCGGTCTCTTCAGCTCCCATGGGGTCAGTTATCATCTGTACGCAGGTGCAGATCTATTTATCTAGTCCTAACCTCTCTCCTGACTTCTACTCTCCTATTTCCAGGTGCCTGTTGGGCATGTTGAACTGGATGTCCTATAGACACTCTCATTCTCACCTCCCACAGGTCTAATCTGTTGCCAAGTCCTGTCATTTTTAACCTTCACAGCATTTCTCATTTATATCTTCTTCTGTCCTCTGATGCAGCTGCCTCCCCAATGCAAGTCCTTATCGCTGCAGTCCTGGACCGTCCCGGTAGCCTTCTAGGTGTTGTCTGTCTCAAGTCTCCCCCCACACTAGTCTGTCCACTCAGCTACTAATGTAATCCTCCTAAAGTACAGGTCTGTACTTTCCATAAATGTCTAGCAGTTCCCTTTTACATCAGGATCAAATGTAAAACCCTTTGTTTGGAATTTTAAGCCTTTAACAGCCCAGTCCCTTCCCACCTCTCTAGTCTTAAACTCTCCTCACTTCCACGTATTCTGCAGTCCAACAACACTGGCCTCGCTGTCCCTTGCACATGATACTTGTGCCTTTTCACTGTCTGTCCCCCATGCCTGCAGTGCCCTCATTCCTCCTCCATGCCTCCTGGCTCCTCTGGCTTCCTTCAGTCTCCGCTCAATTCCTCCCTTCCCTGTCCCCTCTCTAGGATTGCCTCCAGTTTACCCTGTATCCGTCTTGTTTGTTGTGGCAGTTACGTGTGCAGTAGAGTGCCTGGCCTGGAGTCAGGAAGACTCATCTTCATGAGTTCAAATGTGACCTCAGACACTTACTAGCTGTGTGACCCTGGGCAAGTCACTTAAGTAACCCTGTTTGCTTCAGTTTCCTTATCGTAAAATGAGCTGGAAAAGGAAATGGCAAACCACGCCATTATCTTTGCCAAGAAAACCCCAAATGGGGTCAGTAAGTGTTGGACATGACTGGAAAAAAAACCCGATTGAACAGTGATCTTGTTTGTATGTAGTTGTTTGCAAGTTGTCCATTAGGATGTAAATTTCTTGAGGGCAGGGAGTGTTTTTGCCTTTGTTTATATCCTCAGCACTTAGAACAGTGCTAGGCACATAGTATGGGCTTAATAAATGCTTGTTGATTGACTGAGAGAGCACCGGACTTGAAGTCAGGAAGACCTAGGTTCAAATCCTGTTCTCATTCACTTAACAAGCTGTATGGCCCTCGTCAAAACTCTTCAGTTTCTCAGTTTCTTTCCCTGTAAAATGAGGGGATTGGAACTCTGAGGCCCTTTCTAGCTCCAGATCTATGAAAACATAAATTAGACAGCTACATTACTGTCTCACTTGAATATCACTTTCTTGGGTTTTTTTCAGTTTATGTTGTTTTTATGACTTTTAAAAATATTTTTATAAATACAGGATACTTGATTCTTACTTAGCCATTCCTGGAAAAGCTAATAGTTTAGACTGTGTATTCAAATTCAGATACTTGGTGGTACCTACCGAAATTCTCAGCATAGTACCTAGTGAGAATGAAGCACTAGCCTTGTAAATTGAAATCCATTTAGTGAAAGTAAATATCATTTATCAGCACACTGTTCTGCTTCCCCTTGTACTGTTCCTTTTCTGAGGTGGCCATTATTCTTGGAGCAACAGAATTTACTATTTCAGGAGTCTCTGACCTTCGAGGATGTGGCTGTGTATTTCACGAGGAAGGAATGGAAACATCTGGACTCTTGCCAGAAGGACCTCTATAGGAATGTGATGCTGGAGAATTATGGGAATATGACATTGCTGAGTAAGGACTTGCTTCAAAATCTTCCTTCTTCCCCCAAAGGCCTTCTGCCCTCCTCTTGGGTTATATTTCTGGGATTTCTGAAGTGCTTTGATGAGCTGTGCTACATGGATAAGCGCTTCCTCATCTCCTTTGGACCCATAGATAAGTGATTCCTGTTCTGTGTCCACAGGTGACTGATCTGATCCCAGCAAAGAGATAAAATGGACAGTTTCCTTAGGTCTCTCAAAGGCAGCCCTTTCCCCATTCCCTGAGTTTCCTATAGGAGATTGCACCATGTTCCGTGTAGATAGTCCTAAGTTTTCAGTGCTAATGGCCCTTTTAATGGGAATTTTTTTTTTCTTCTGTGAGGTCCTTTGAAGGAGGGACCAGATAATAGCATCTAAGTTCCTGGACTCTTTTACTTTGGTACTTTAGCTCCTATTTATCTCTCTGCAAGATGTTCCCTTCAGAGCCCTACCCATTCCCATCTACCTTCCATCTAGCCTCTCTGGATATTCCTTACCTTCTTACGTACTTTCTACATATATAGCAGTCAACACTGAGGCCTAAGGTAGCTTTGAATTCTCAGAACAAACAATCATACCTTATTTCTTTGCCTACGAGCAGAATTCTCAGTCTCCAAACCTGAGCTGATCTCCCAGCTGGAGCGAGGGGAAGAACCATGGGTTCTGGATCTACAAGGGACTGAGGACCAAGACACCCCAAAAGGCTTTAACTCAGGTGAGGGAGAGGATAGGTACTGGGACCTATAGTATCCACATTGTCCCTAAAAATTCTCTACCTTGGGCAGAGGACTTTGCTGTGGAAGGGGGCTTTCAATGAGAACACGGGTCAACTGCACTGAAGTAGCTTTGGATATTATGTTTGAGGCAGCAGAAAGTACACAGGCATGAAGGAAAGAATGAGGGAAATGAGAGTGTCCAGGGGAACCTAGGATAGGGCTAGGAGTCAGAGTCAAGATCTTGGGCAATGAAAAGCTACTACAGATATCTGTAAGGAAGGAACAGATTAAAGCCAGCCATAACTGGGCAAGGGTGATTCCAGAAATCATGGCAGACGCAGCTGGTAAGGAAGGTGTATGATCCCATGAAACAGCTCATAATAATTCAGAAAGATGATACACACAGTGATTTGATATTTCTTGAGAGACATATGAGTTTTCGTAATTATTGCTGGAAGAAGTGCCAGAGGGAAAGGGGTAGATAAGAGTGATGTCTTTGAGAGAGTAGACCCAATTCAGTAACTCATGCACTGAACAAAGTAGCTGTTCAGAAGTTGATGGGTATAAAGGACAGTGTGGAAGGATAATAAACAGGTATATCATTGCCATTTTAAATATAAGCTGATGGGGGCAGCTAGGTGGCACAGTAGATAGAGCTCTGGCATTGGAGTCAGGAGGACCTGAGTTCAAATCTGGCCTCAGATACTTGACACTTACTAGCTGTGTGACGCTGGGCAAGTCACTTAACCCCAAATACCTCACCCCCCCCCAAAAAAATGAGCTGATGGTGAAGGGTATGTCTTAGACAGAGATAAACAAACTGATCTCTGGAGTATTTGCTAGATGTGGAGAGACAGTACTTATAACAGTAACTCATGTTTACATAGCCCTTTAAGAATTACAGAGTTCTTTCTTCATAATACTCCTGTAAGGAGAGGTAGGGAGAGGTTATTATCTCCATTTAATGGATGAGGAAATTGAGGCTCAGAGAGGCTGACTTTCAGAGAGTTGCAGCTAGGATGTAGCAGAGCTAAAATTTGAACTCAGGTCTTACAAGTTCATGTCAGGGCTCTTTCCATTCCACCACAGTGCTACATTCATCTCAGCAGAAGTGAATAACATTTTGTGGGCTTATGATTTGTAGTGAAAAGAGTAAGTAAGGGACTGAGATTAGGGAATTTTGGGTGTGTGGAGGGTGTTGCCCTGAAAGGCTCATCATTAGAGAAAAGGCCATTGGATTTGGAGTCAGAGGGCCTGGATTTGAATCCTGATTCTGCTATGTGAACTTAGACAAATCCCTTCACCTCTCTGGTCTCAGTTTTCTCATCTATAAAATAGGGGGATTGGATTGGAGCCTGAGTGGGGAACCTCGAGGTGGTAAGTGTGGCTCTTTGACTGCATTCAGACTTCACAGAACAAATCCAGAGGCCAGAAGAGGGACAGCAGATTTAAGCTTGATTTCTGGAAAAACTTCCCAACTATTAGAGTTCCCCAGAAGTAGAATGGGCTGCCTGAGGAGGCAAGTGGTTCTCTTCCACTGGAGATTTTTCAAGTGGAGGGTGTGTGACTGCTTGTCGGGGATGTCACAGGACAGGTTCTGGAATATGTTAGCATAGACAGCTTCTGAGCTCCTGTGCACCTCTGAGAATCTGTGATTCTGGAGTGGTTCTTAGAGATTGTGCCACAGAAAAGGTGCTTACATAGCTATTAGGAATATGTGGGAAGTGAGGGACTATCGTCTCTATGATTCTCCTCACATAAATTCTATTGGAATACTCCTTAATGTTCCCTAGGAATAGCCTAGTAATGTGAGTATGCTTAAGCCTGGCCTAGAGACATATGCTTTTCCTTGTCTTTGGGATCTCACCCCACGTGCCATTTTCATGAACTGCTTTGCCTTAAGCCGTTTTCTACCTACATAGCCACTCTTCTCACTACTTTCCTGAATCCCAGCCCTGTCCCACACATCCATTCTCCATCCCCATAGACACACAGCACTCTTTCTGTCTTCCACAGAGTTTCTATTTCTGTCCTTAGATCATTTTCATTCTTCTTTTTTCTCCTCATTTTCACTTTTTCTAGCACTATGTTCATTTGGTCAAACTTCTCACGCCCCTCATCTGACTCTCCATGTCATAGCTCACCTGGTTTTGGTGTGAGCTGCTCCTTTTTTAGTGGAGTAGAAATAATAATATTATTACTTGCTTGGTTATACCCCTCATTATTGGCTATTAAAGCCATCTAGTTAGGATTCATTTCAATGATAACGTTCTTATTAATTTTTCTCTTCTGTTTTAATATTTTAGATTCCAAAATAAAGACTGAGAACAAACAGTCTGATGAAAAAGAGGAAATTTTAGAAGATGAACAATTCCATGAGACAATCTTGGGAATTTTCCTAAGGGATATTCCTCAGGAACCTGATTTTGGAGAAGATTGGGAATCTAAGAGACTTCTGCAGAGACGGAGAAACCATGTAGAGATTTCAAAGAAATCCTTTTCCCAAGAGAGAGATTGGAAAGTGCTGATGACCCGCAAAAACCCTCCTATAGGAGAGCAGACTCAAGAATGTAAGGAATTTGGGAGAAATTTCCTTGTTATACAAAAAAGCAATACTGTAGGAGACAGAACCCATAGATGTGATACCTGTGGGAAAAGGTTTAAATACAATTCTGATCTTATCCAACATCAGAAAATTCATACTGGAGAAAAACCTTATGTGTGTGATAAATGTGGGAAAAACTTTGGTCGTAGCTCACAGCTCCTTCGACACCAGAGAACTCACACCGGAGAAAAACCTTATAAATGTAATAAATGTTCCAAAGGCTTCAGTAGGAACTCAAATCTTATTCAGCATCTAAGAATTCACACTGGAGAGAAACCCTATGAATGTAATGACTGTGGAAAAGGCTTCAATTGCAGCTCACATCTTGCCCAGCATCAGAGGATCCATACAGGAGAGAAACCTTTCAGATGTCATGAATGTGGGAAAGGCTTCAGTTCGAGCTCCCATCTTACCCAGCATCAAAGAATCCATACAGGTGAGAAACCCTATGGATGTGAGGAGTGTGGCAAAGCCTTCAGTCAGAGCTCACACCTTATTCTACACCAGAGAATTCATACTGGAGAGAAACCCTATGAATGTAGCGAATGTGGGAAAGGCTTCATTTGTAGTTCACATCTTGCTCAACATCAGAGAATTCATACTGGAGAAAAACCTTATGGTTGTGAAGAATGTGGTAAAACTTTTTGCTTGAATTCACGACTTACTCAACATCAAAGAATTCACAGTATTGAAGAGAAACTCTATAAATGTAATGAATGTGGCAAAGCCTTCAGTCAGAGTTCACACCTTATTCAGCATAAGAGAATCCATACAGGGGAGAAACTCTATGGGTGTGTTCAGTGTGGGAAAGCCTTCAGTCGAAGCTCAAACCTTATTCGGCACCAGATAACTCACACTGGACAGAAGTCCTATAAAGGTCAACACTGTGGAAAAACTTTTATTCAGGCCTCTCAACTTAAAACCTATCAGAGAGTTCACACAAAAAAATTCACAGTAGTAGAAAAAGTTGAGCCATGACTGAAAATATGTTGTGAGAGTTCACTCTACTCACTATGAAAGAAGCAGCATGGTGTGTGTGTGGGGGAGTGTTGGACTTGGAGGCAGATGAGACCCAAATTCAAGTCCCACCGGGGACAAGTGCTAGTTCTCTAACCATAGGAAAGTCACTTGACCTCTCCGGCCCACCTTCATCATCCTTCAAAAAATGGGGGCATTATTATCATTAGTACTTACTAAACAAGGTTTTTTGTGAGGATCCCATGAGATACGGTTATGTAAGGCACTTGGCAAACTTTAAATCACTCTAGAAATATCAGTTAACATTATTATTACAAGAGAATTAATAGATTCATGGAAACTGACTTATGGTACTTTAGAGGTCACCTTGTCAGCTCCCTCATTCAACACATAAAAGAAATATCATGAGTATAGTGAATACAGGCAAGCCCTCACTGATTATTTCAGCCTTTATTCAGTAACATTGTGATTGCAGCAGCAAGTAATCCAGGGAATATAATAAATGTGGGAAAAATTTAGTCAGCCTTGGCAAATCTACATACATTTAAATGCTTATTGTATTGAATTGAATCGAATCATAGCAATCTGGAGCTTTCAGAGTGGTAAAGGCCTTAATGTATAATTCAGTCCTGGCTAGTGAGTATCAAAGCCAGGAGTCTTCCTTGGGGTTGGGACTCAGTTCTTGATATCAAGTCCAGTGTTCTTTTCATACTCTGCAGTACCACCTCTCTTGGAGTAGTTCTTGTGTTGTTTTGAAAATTGAAACCAAAAATAATAAAATAAAATATTGTTATTTCAGGCTATCAGCCGGGACATAAAAATGACTGTTTGAAAGGCCTCTGTACATTGAAGATGTTCTTCATTGAAATGAGACTTCTACTGTTGTGTAATTTATCTGTGACCTGGGAATTTTATTTCTGATCTGCAGCAACTAGACACCAGGATGGGGAAGGGGCTGGGAACCATGTCACTCACATATGGAATGGTTGAAGGAGCTCAGAATGTTTAGCATGGAAAAAAGAAAGTATTTGATCATTTTTGAGTATGAGGGTTTTTTTAGGTGGAAGAGAAAATAGATTCTGTGTTGCTCCAGAGAGCATAGTAGGACCAGAGAAATGTTAGACAGATTTCAGCCCAATATAAGCTAGACCTGTCTAACCTGTAGAGTTGTTCAGTAGTGAAATTGTAATGAGTTCACTGTCACTGGAAGTGTTAAAGCTGAGGCTGGGTAAACAACCTTTCAAGGCTCCTACAGAAGAGATTCCCAAGTTGGACTAAGGTCCCTTCCAGCTTGGAAATTCAGTCAGTCACCTAGTCAGGTCAGCAAATCTTTATTAAGTGTCTGTTGTGTGCCAAACACTACACTGAGGTACTTTTTTTCACTGACACAGATTGTGACTCCACTGGATCGGAGGAATTAACAATGGTTGAAAAATTCTCTGTAATGATCAACCTAATGGTGATGATCTGTCCACCTGTAGGTAAGTTTATCTCCAAATAGCAGTTTGTCTCTGGGGCTTTAGTTAAAGTTTTCCCAGCTTGATAGGACATACCTGATCTTCACTGATACGGCCTTTGAGAATTCGGGATAAGGCATCTGAAGAGGATTTCAATATTCTCTCCAATACTATGTCCACTAATTACATAGTTTTGGTCATGTTAACTAAAAAACAGTATTACAAGTCCATGAGACATTGTGTTGCAACTAGATTTATTATAAGAGAAACAAACATGTGTTTGGAACCCAAAGCCAGAGCAAAGAGTTTACAATCCAAACAGAAGTTTGTATATTTATAACAGTATGACAAAAGGGGGAGGAGGTACCAGAAATCTCCAACTAAAGGGGAAGTGGCATGGGAAGAGGAAAGGTGCAGTGAAGGTAGGTAAAGGACAAAACCTCTCCTGAAGGGGAGGAGCAAGGTGAAGGCAAAAGCCACATTCTTTTCCCTTGGGAACTGCTAGACCATGAAAAGAGGGTCTGCTTATCTACAAGGGTCCTGGATGCACAAGTAGTCTCTCAGCCTAGTGCAGACTGACTGGCATATGCCGTGACTGCCAAAGACACACAGGGAGCCCAGCTTGAGGTGCAAATAACAAACTGCATCAGCTCAGGATGGGGGGGGGGGGGGCTTTGTCCTTAACACACTCAGGGCTTCCTGCAGTCCTCTGGGTTTAGTATTTTTGGAACATGCGGCAATTCCAAAAGACAAGTTCAGGGGACCCCTTAATGTTCCGTAACAGTGATGAGTTTCAGTTGACTACCTACCTCTCTGAGGAAGTTCCTGAAATTTGAAGTCTCTAATTGTAGAACAAGTGACTGTCTTCTCTTAAGGTAATGTTAGTCTTCTGTCAATGGGGAAGATTTTTGGGAAGACAGTACTTAATAAACCTAAAAATCACTTTCTACTGATAAAACTAGTGTTCAAGGTAAATTTGTATCAGTGGTTCTAGGATACTAAGAAGAGGGGACAAAATAACGCATAATCTCTTGGCCCCCATTTCTCCAAGATTGCCAGGAAAAGGGAAACCAGTGGCCCATCCAACTGTGGTTGCTGCAGGCATACTGTGTGCAACTTTTGGGAATGGAGGAACAAGCCTTTTCCACCAATTTCTCTGACGTGGAGCCCCTTCTTCTCCCATAGCTCCATCTTTCTCTTCTCCCCTTGAGCACAAGTTGTTAACTTGGAGCAAAAAATACTCATTTGAGGAGTCCCAGAAAAGAGGTCACCCTACCCCCCACCCCCTACACACAATCCCTCCAGCCACTAAAAGCTAAAGCCTTCACTATTTAAGCCCTCAAATCAGTTATCCACAGTCTTAGAGATTATCCACAGCATCTCAGCACTCACATCTGTCCACCAGTTGTTTGCTCACAGGGGAGAGATTGTGGGTTCAGTTCTGTACCAGTGTAGTCAAGTGAGTATTGTTACAAAGCAAGTCACATGAATTTTTTTATTTCCCAGTGCATATAAAAATATTAGTCTATTAAGTGTGCAATACTACTATGTCTAAAAAATGTATATGCCTTAATTTAAAATACTTTATTACTAAAGAAGATGCCAACCATCATCTGAGCCTTCAGCAAGTCCTAATCTATTTGCTGGTGGAGAGTCTTGCCTCAGTGTTGATGGCTGCTGACTGGTCAGGGTGGTGGTTGCTGAAGGTTGGGGTTGGCTGTTGGTAATTTCTTAAAATAAGGCAATGAAGATTTCGCCTTGGAGGAAATTAACTCCTTTCACTTGAACACTTAGAGGCCTATTGTAGGGTTATTAATTGTGTTTCAAGGAATTGGAAGGCCCAAGGAGAGGGAGAAAGACAAGAAATGGATGGTCAATGGAGCAGTCAGTACACATACAACATTTATCAATTAAGTTTGCCATCTTAAAGGCACAGTGGCAGCCCAAAACAATACAATAGTAACAGATAACAATAATAATGAAAAAGTTTGAAATATTGTGAGAATTACCTAAATGTGACACAGAGACACGATGCTTTAGGAAAAATGGTGCTGACAGACTTGCTAGTTGCAGGGTTGTCATAAACCTTCAATTTGTTAAAAAACAAAACAAAAACTTGCAGCATCTGCAAAGCATGATAAAATGAGGTATGCCCACGGTATTTCAAGGTTTTGCAAAGCACTTTCCATACTTTAACTCATCTGATCCTCACAACAACCCTGGGAGGTGTTTTGTTATTCAGCTGCCTTTCAGTTGTGTCAGGCTTTTCATGATCCCATTTGGGATTTTCTTGGCAAAGGTACTGCAGTGCTTTGCCATTTCCTCCTCTAGCTCATTTTACCAACAGGCAAATGGGGTTGGGTGACTTGACCTGTGTTACATAGCTGGTGTCTGAAGCTGTATTTGAACACTGGTCCTCCTTGCTCCAGGCCTGGCATTCTATCCACTGCGCCACCTACCTGCCAACCCTGGGCAGGGTTTTATTCACACGGGGGAAATGAAGCTCTGAGAGGTTAAGTGACTTGCCCAGGGCCACCCAGATATTGGGCCAAAATCCGAGCTGAGACTAACCTGTCTATATGCTGTCCCTTGTCCCGTGGCTACACTTCCTGGCTTGTTGGGGAGAGGGGCGGGGCTTCGGCGGTGACCCCTCCCCAGCAAGGGATCATGGAGATAAAGAAACTTCTGGTTGGCTTAAAGTGGCGCATGCGCACTGGGGTGGGGTGGGGCCGGTCAGCATCTAGGTCTTTACGGGGCTCCAGAGGGTGAGGGAGGATCCATTTCCGGCCCTAGATGGTCTGTCCCTCCCTTTCTCTCACCTCCTCTTCCTCCTTTCTTCCAGTGGTTCTTGGGGTCTGCCCCTCCCCCTGTGCAGCGCCCTGCCTGGACTGGGGGTGAGTTCAGTGTTGGGCTCTGCGAGGGGCGTGGAGGAGTGGGTGCCCGCCAGAGTCCCGCCCCTCCTGCACCCCAGATCCCAGAAACCCTGGTGGAATTTGAGGAACGGCAGGGTTGGGGGACCAAGGGGCGCTCAGAGCCCACCCTGACCTGGAGCCTTGACTTTCTCCGGGGGAAGGGACAGGGATTGGAGAAGGGTCTAGGCAGACCCTGGGAGAACCGCGTCCTCAAGTGTGGGATGTGAGGGGTGGGGTGCCCCTGACTTTGGAGAGGCTGCCCTAGACTAGGAGCCCCAAGAACTGGTTCTTCTCTCGTGTGTTTAGGGGCGATTAATTCCATTCCATTTTCAAGCCTCAATTCCTCCTCTGTAAAAGGGGATAACAACTAGATTACCCATCTTACAGGGTAGTTGTAAGCTCAGATGAGATGAAATGGCTAAAAGTATTACATATTGAGCCCTCCTTGTTACTCTTGTTAATCATAAATGTCTTTTCTCTTTTTTGACACCTAGTGCAGGGACCTTTATCAGCTCTCTTTTCTTTGTTTGTTTTTATTCTTTCCTTTTTGTTTCTCTGCTCATGGCTTATTGTTTTTTCTCAGGTTCCTCTGGTAACTAATGACAATCTTAAGGAGACAAAGCAAACAAACAAATGAATATGTACAAATAAGCCATATACAATATAAATAGGAAATAATTAAGAAAAGGAAGGCTCTAGAATTAAGAGGGTTTGGGAAAAGCTTCTGGTGGAAGGTGAGGTTTTAGTTAGGATTTAAAGGAAGTCAGGGAAGCAGTAGGTAGAGATGAAGAAGGAGAACATTTTAAGCCTGGGGGACCAGAGAAAATGTCCAGAGCCAGGATATGGAGCGTCTTGTTTGATGATCAGCAAGGAGGCGAGTGTCACTAGATCAAAGAGTACATGAGAGTAAAGTTCAAGAAGACTAGAAAGGTGTGTATATATGTGGGAGTAGGGGAGGGGGATATGGCACTCTGTTATGAATGGCTTTGAATGTGAAACAGGATTTTCTATATGAATCTGAAGGAATAGGGAGCCCCTGGAGTTTATTGAGTAGGAGAATGACATAGTCTGACCTGTACCTTAGGAAAATTGCTTTGGTAGCTGCATGGAGGATGGACAGGAGGGGGGAGTGGCTTGAGGCAGGAAGATCTACCAGGACTGCATGATGGTGGTTGAAGTGTGGAGAACAGAAAGAGGCATATTTAAGAGGTATTATAAAAGTGAAATTAACAAACTCAGCAACAAGTTGGATATGGACGTGTTGAATTTAAGATGTCTGCATCCAGTTCAAGATGACTCAAAGGCAATTGGAAATGCAAGATTAGAGGTCAGTGGAGGGGTCAGGGTAGATAGGTAGATTTGAGAATCATTAACATTGAGATGGTAATTAAATTCATTGTTGCTGATGAGCTCACCAAATGAAGCAGTTTAG